ATTTCACCATTTCGATAATATAAAAGCTATGTCATTTCAACCGTTCTTTATGATATGATCAACATTTCTATGTTACATACATTTATGGAGTCTGTTATTAGATGTTATTTAATTGAAAAAAGATTAAATATAGGTAAAAATTTCTAAACAATACAAGTGTCGTTACTAGACATAAAACAGCACATGTACTTTTACATGTATAAATACGACTATAAGCAATCATGATCCATTTGTGTCCCCAAAAAATAAAAAGTTGAATTTATTTACGTTGTAATATGCACATAACATGTATAAAAGTTGATAGATATGCTCATTAATTTCATCGATACATATGAGTAGGGCAACTTGTGATTTTACCATTTCATAATATAAAAGCTATGTCATTTCGATATTTCTTTGTGACATGGTCAATTTTTCGGTGTTATTTACGTCAATAATCCATTATTAGAGATTTTTTCGTTGGAAAAATCAAACCACAGTAGATAACGACTGTAGTATCGTTTTACATAACAAAAAAGACCGAAGTAACATTTTACATTTCAGATAACAGTTGGAGTGTCATTACCATTCAATAGTTGTATACAACACAAAAAAACCATACTAAGTACAAAAACAACATCAACTTAAATATTATTTAATACTATATTTAATAATAAATGTACAATTTATATAAGATTTCTAAAATTATCTTTCTTCTTTCTTCAAATCTAAATATGGTTTTTCAATATAGACGACAAATGTTAATAGGATATTCAAATAGGTGAAGAATATGATTTTAGAATAGTCAGTATAGTTGAAGAGAAGAAATCCTGTTATTTTTATTTTGGAAACCAAAAATTGAATTGGGGATTTAATTGGATTGATAAGGATATTAGGATCTTTTACAATAATAAGGGTATTTATGACATTTGACTTTATTTATTTATGGGGTGTTTGATAGGCATTTTTATGTAAAAATGCATTTTAGAATAGTAAATTGATGTGAAATGTGTGGTTGAAAAATAAGGACAAGTTTTTGATTTCCGTGTAATATTATTTTAATAAAGAATGTGTGGTTGAAAAGAATAGAGAGAAAAATGCATTTTGAAAAAAATGACTACCAAATATAGTATTATTGTTTTTAATAGTTGAAGGCTATTTGTTCAACAAATTTGAAAGGAGATTATTTAACCAATAAAATTACTCCACTCGGTCCCTTCTCCCAAAAAACCGGGTGAACCGGGTCGGGAGGACCGTCAAACGCTCTCCATTTACTTCAGAGTTCATGAACAAAAGTTTCCTTCCAGTGGGGGTTTTAAGCAGCCACCGCGCAACAAAGTGAATTCGCACAGAGAAGCGAAGCATCGAGTTACCAATGGAGAACAGAGACAAGCTCAGACTAGCCTTAACCATCATCATCTCTTCTTTCTTAGCTCTATCAATTCCCATATTATTCTCTCGAAAATTCTTCAAAACCCAAAAACAAAGAAAAATTTGTTGTCTCAATACAGAATCTAAGGCTCAAAGCACTTTTAAACGCATCTTAGCTGAAAATTCTTACTTCCAGTTTAAACACTTGAAACTAGCACAGAGAAGCGAAGCATCGAGTTACCAATGGAGACCAGAGACAAGCTCAGACTAGCCTTAACCATCATCATCTCTTCTTTCTTAGCTCTATCAATTCCCATATTATTCTCTCGAAAATTCTTCAAAACCCAAAAACAAAGAAAAATTTGTTATCTCAATACAGAATCTAAGGCTCAAAGCACTTTTAAACGCATCTTAGCTGAAAATTCTTACTTCCAGTTTAAACACTTGAAACTGCAAACTCAATCAAATGGTATGTTACTAGTTTTGCTATTAATTACTATTATTTATTGATTATTGAATTGTTCTGTTGAATTAGTGCGGTCTGTTTTTATCGGTTTTGACAGAGGAATATTCGAACTTGCATCCGTATAAGGGGGAGATTTCGAAGCTATTGAAGAATCCGGATATTGGGTTTTTGGAGTTTCTTGATGGGTTTGATAATGGTGGTGAAAAATGGAATTGTGAGATGTCGGATCCTTTGGTGTGGACTGAGACCAAGTCGCAGCTAGAAGAGCTAGCTGAGGTTTTGAGTAAAGAGAGAGTTTTTGCGGTGGATACTGAGCAGCATAGCCTGAGATCCTTCTTGGGCTTCACAGCTCTCATTCAGGTTCAATTTAGCATTGCAATTCCTTCTCGAGTCCCTTGGCTGCTAGCGAAAATCTTACAACTGCGTGACAAATTAACATTATTTAGCTAGGCTAGAAAATGTTGCTGTATTTGTATTTGTGCTTGTTTGATCACATGTATAATGTATGTGTTTACAGTTACAACAAGTTAAGCATTATCTTAGTATATTCGGAGTTACCTAACAATTATTGGTTTTCATTCAATTTCATCTAGTAATATATTTATTAAGAAGTCTAACAAAATTAAATATTTTGCAACCTTATTCCGCATGAGATAACATGAAACCTCTCACTTTTTACATATTTCTATGCTGTCCCGTCTCTTGCATATATGTTTTCTTTGGGTCCGTACAAGACAAGCCCTAACCATCTAAATTGGTCATACTTTACGGTCCATTTAAACCATTTCGCTTTTTGGCACGTATTATCATTTTTCATTCTATCGTTCTAATACAACCGGTCATCCATCATAATATTTTTGTGTTTGTTGTATCATCTTATAGATGATTTGTCATTTAGCGACTAACATTCAGTACCACAAGGTAAGGTATGCCTGAAAATATATGAATAATACTTTAGCAATATGTAATTCTTTGTTGTGACCACACACTGTTCTTACTAATGCTAATATGACATTATATATGTTTTATATGAGTTCTACTTATAAACTTACATTATCCTCTGAAATTTTATTTTGACTTCCTTCCTTTGATTGTCTCATCTCTTAATATACTTAATAAAAGAATAATATAAACTAAGGGACCTTATCTAGAAAGTTCTATAAGCTCTTCTATGATTAAAGAAAAAAGATATAAACTTTGTATGGATTCTTAAATGCGTGCTTATAGCCGTAAGAAATTATCTAACTCCACTAGATCTCACATTTGTGATGCTATATTCATAGATATCACTTGAACATTGCAAGAGCAATATGTTTAAGTGCGCATGCACACTGACTTGATGATATGAAAGAAATACCGAGATTTATGTATCTAATTGCATGAACACATTATCAACATAACCTGCTCCTTTTACTATTTCTTTTTCTCAGTTAATGCCAGAGCTGAAGATTACAGACAATATGATCGGTGACGTTTATCAGTTGTGCTTGCTTTTATTTAGTTTCTCATTGGATATGAATATCATGTATTTTGTCATGGTCGAGATAAAGTATGTTGAACTAAATGGCTGTGATGCTAATGGACAGCCATTTAGTTCAACACTAGTGCTGTGTGATCTATGTGTATAGAAGAGAATGTAACTATGGAATGGCTGATCCTATCTCACCCTTGTGAATCAGCCATTTAGTTCAACACTAGTGCTGTGTGATCTGTATAAGAAAATGTAACTAAGGAATGGCTGATCCTATCTCACCCTTGTGAAATCTGAAATTCATAACTCACCCTTATTTAATTTATATATTCTGTTCTGTGTATAATGCTATGCATCTGTGTATAAATTGTTTACAGATATCAACTAAAAGGCAGGATTATTTGGTCGACACGATAGCCCTTCATGATGTTATGGGGATTCTTAGGCCAGTATTTGCTCATCCTGGAATTTGCAAGGTACTATCATGAGTATAATATTTTTGAATCTTCTTTCATTCATTTCTCTTCACCGTGGACTGGCGAAAAATGATTCATGTTGCTGACAATTTGTTGAGAGTAACGAGGATTAGTTTCATTTAATTCTCTTCCCTGTCCCCTTGACAAAAACCAGAGTAGAGATGTTCATACTTAGGTAAACTGAGTTTTTCGTTCCTTTTTGGGAAATTGACTTCTTTATGTGATTGTGTTGCTATTTTTATGATCATTGTGCTCTCTGTGGTTTCTTGGAGCTATTATGACATGGTGGAGGTTATAAAGTAAATCTCTATAGCCATATAAATCATTTATTATGGAAGAATGACTGAAGTCATTAAACTGAATAAGAAGCTGTTTGTTTGCTTCAGTTGTATGGTTAATTTTTAGTCAATAATAATCCTGTAGATGAAGAACAAATATAAATACTAAGCTTCAGGTGGAACGTGACATTTGTTTGTGTGATGGATTTCTATGTTCTGTAGTTCTATATCATTTTATATATTCTCTAAAAACCTTCTATGCCTAGGATTGCATCAAAGTGTGTGTATGTGGACATAGATTTTACTATCATGTAGAATTATGTCAAATAATTAAGTGTCGCTGTCTTTCATTTATAACTTTTACCAAAGGTACCCCTGAAATGATCTTGTTTTTCATTTTATAGTTAGATGAACGTAGATTGTTCTTTAAATTCCGATTCAGAAAGGAGCACGAAAAGGTTCAACTTCTACAAATACTGCCATGATATCCTATGAGTTATTCACAAAACTATGTGATTGTGTGTTATTTGAAGAATGTTGTTTCATTTTTTGTTGTCATGTCAAAATCAAATTACAGTCAACAAAAAACTATGGTGTAGGTGTTCCATGGTGCTGATAATGATGTTCTCTGGCTTCAAAGAGATTTCCACATATATGTTGTAAACTTATTTGATACGGCAAAGGTGAGATATGATATTTGTTTATGATTGTTATTTCATTAACTTCTCTGTGACATTGAGAGCTTCTTTAATGTGTTTCCATGCTCATAACCAATGAAAAGCATGGAGGGAGGACAGAGATGGGGTGACTGCTTTGTCCCATTACATATATGTTTCCTGGTTATACTTGGTCGCATATGGTTGTGGCATCTTACATTCATGTATGACTATTGGGGTTATTATATCGCAGGCATGTGATGTGTTATCAAAACCACAGAGATCATTGGCGTATTTGCTTGAAACATATTGTGATGTTGCAACAAATAAACTTTTACAGGTTTGACACTTGCAATTTACACTCATTAATGGTTGAATTTTATAGGTATAGCTGTATCTTGTTATTAGGAGCCTGTTTGTTTTGGATTAAAATCCAATTAAAATCTCAATTCAAAGTCAATATTAAATTTTAATCATGGGACCCAAAACTTTTCAACCACACATTTCAAAAACTTCTATCAAAAATCTAATTTTAATCCCCACTAAACACCCTCTAGGTTTCCTTCATCAAGGAGTGTATCACAAGGCCTAGAAACAGGATGTTAGGAGTAACAACTATGAGCCAGTTTTGGGAGCGACATTTAAATGTATTTTCTTTTAAGTAATATGTTCATGTGTGTTTTCTTTCAGCTATTAATGCTTCCTGATCTTAGTAAACATCCATAAAATATGGACATGTCTTTTATAAATTTTTTTAATGAAAAGTTGGAAAGTCCAATTAATAAATGAAGGAAGAAATGAAGCCTGTAAAATCTGATTATCATCATCATGGAGTTTTCATGTGTGGGATCAAAGTAAGGGAGGGGTAATTCGTAACCATATGCTAGAGTAAGTGGATTTGATTTCTTGATGGAGGCACAGGCATCACAAGTTGATTGCCATTTTCCATGCTTTTTTGCCTGCAACATCAGGGAAATTGATTATAGTAATGCTGTTCTCATACTAATTTTGTTTCACAATCTAAATGTCAGCGAGAAGACTGGAGACAACGTCCATTGCCTGAAGAAATGGTAAAATATGCGAGATCTGATGCACACTATTTGTTGTACATTGCATATTGTCTTTCTATGGAGCTCAAACAGCATAAAAATGGTATGCCATAAATTCATCCTATTTGAAAACTATTTAATTATTTTTTGTGGATGTGTCCAATTGTTGTCCTGTACTTGTATAGAATGGGTTTAGAGTCATTATTGAAAATTATTTCCAAGATTGAGCAACCTTGCTGCTGGAATATTTTGTAGAAGATTTGATTATCAAAGTCGTGGTAATCTATTTCTTATTCTTTTTTCTTTCTAATGACAAATACCAGTATGAAGAGTATAGAAGCTTCTATTTCTGTGTAGAAGTTTAAAGCAGAGACCAAATTTTTGTTCTAGTTACTAGAACAGGCAAAACCTTATTTCCAATCAACCTCGAGCTCACTATATATTACATCTTTTTTCGCTATTTTCTTGGATTTACAGTTACCTCTTTCTGAAGTCCAAGTAAAATATCTTACAACTTTATCAGACCATAAAGTTTGGCATTTTCCCTTTTAACATATTCTACTGGACTTGTGTCCCTGTTTTGAAGAAAAGATTCTTTAGGTCTACACAGAACATGGCTCAATCACAGAACATAGTTCAATGATATATTATTCTATTCCTTAATTCATCCTCACTTGGTGCCATTTCGATCTATCCGGATTTGTTAAAGTGTTATTGAGATATAGTGTAAAAGTCTTATTAACTATTAAATCATATGTGCACTTTTCTACCTAGTTGAACATGTTAGAAAGGATAGGCAGATTAAAATTATCATGGGTTGGTTTGGTTGCCAAGAATCTGATTGAATTGGATCTTCCATTAGATGTGTCCATAGACCGAAGAGAGTGGTGGGCAATTATTAGGAATAGAGTTTGGTGTTGTGATGAACAAGATAAAATCCTGCATAGACTTGAAAATTTATCTGGTGCCATCACCAGAATTGGCCATTGACAATTACCTATTATGTGGAAAAAGGAAGGCATTAATATTCATGTTATTCCCTCTCCTGACTATAGATTATGTGGGAAAATAAAGGTGTCAATATTCAATGTTGATCTTACATGCCTTAACTAATTACAGGATGAGGCTTGAATATATTGGGGTAAGGATTAACAGTCCTCGTTCATTTCAAAATTGAAGAAGCAAATAAGTTCTCTCAATGTTGTTTGATAGTCGTATATTGCTGAGAACCTTCTCATTAGCTGTCATCCTTACCCATAAAGCATAGAGGACTTGTAAGAGAAATGACTAATTTTTTATATGCTTATGAATAAGAAAGGGAAAAATATTCTTGAATCATAATTGCAGAACAATCGGATGACAAAGATATCACCGTAAGACCTCACCCTTATAATTTTTAAAATTTATGAAATTGAAATGACCGTTAAAAGTGAAAATGGTGAAATATATGAAAGATATTTTATACCCAAGTTAATGAAGGACTGCTAAGATACGAGGAAGAAAAATTCAAATTGATTGTTTTTTTAAGTGCTAATGAGTTTTAAAAATGAAATGTATAAATATCTTATAATTAAGTTAAGGTGTCATTTTCTCTAAAAATTTACATTTTTTAATTCCAGATCCACCAAATGGCTACAGCCACTGCATTACTTTGCAAACTGATGCTTCAATTATTTATTGTGATATGAGATGGCATTTGTCAAAATATACACCTGTAAGTCTTAGCAAATAATTGTGCACTGGCATACTAGTTATCTACCATCATTTCAGAGTGCTGAAACTGTTTATAATAAAGGTGATGAGAGAAAATCCAGGGAAAGTGAGGAAGAAGACTAAAAAACTTATATACTACAAAGTCCCCTTGCAAGTTTAATTTTGTCATCTTATGCACATATCCAGCCCAATTTTTAACATTTTAGTTTTTATTTTGGACTCATCATTCAGTTAACATCCTATAGGAATTAGCGGATCAGAAAATTTGTCTCCTTGTGACAAATTCCATTTTCTATTCGAGGCTAGTCGACGTTCCAATGCAACTTGTTTGCAACTTTTCCAAAAAGATATTGAAGCTTATCTCGGTGAATCTACTGCTTTGTCAATAATTTCTCGTTGCTTGAATGATCAAGGGGGTATTCCATCCAGTTTGTGTGATTTGAAGGTTTGATACTTTCTATTAGATTTTTTTTGATTGATATTGTTTGTAGACATGGATAATGATGATGCCTTTTCATGTTCAGTTTCAGGAACTTGTGAGACGATTCTGCGCATGGAGGGATATAATGGTGAGTGGAAACATATCAATATACTCGTTGTATTCTGACTGAACTCATCCCTGCTTTATGTATTATTTGTGGAATTGTTGAATTTCACTTCTTGTTGGGGATGCTATCAACACATAGAAATTTAGTATTCGTTCCAGGAAATGCCCTCAAGGACACTATCCCTGGATGAGAAGTAAAGAGATTCTTCCGATATTGCTGCATTGAGATTTCGTAGAGGATAGCGATATATCTTATGGCTTGGTCCCAATACCTGTTGTTAACTTCAGTTGAGGGGTAGGGATGAACATTCATATCATTACTACTGCTCATGTCGCCTAGTTACAGGTTGAGCTTTATAATAATCATCTAGAGCACTTGTTGCTGTTGGGCTCTAGAGGCCTCCATTTAGATGCCTTATGTATTGGACTATTAATCTTTATTATTGAGAATAAGTTACAGCCATACAATTGCAACCATCAGAATTCCTATCGCTGGGTTGAACGGATGGCATCTGCAAAGATGTGATGCATTAGCTTCAATTCTCAAATTCTGTTGATAGTCTTGATATTTGGGTTTGGCATATGTTCAAGGAAGGGTGAGGGGAATTGAGAAGGGATGGATTGAAGTACTTCCTCTAGTAGGAAACAGATGTTATTTACTCTTATGTTGTTTGGAACTAGTAATGGGGGGGTGTGGAAATAGGGTGAGATAATTGGATGAAAGAGTATAAAACGATTTTTTTTTTTTATTAATAACATGTCATATGTAATTGGATTCTATACATACAGCCATTGATCATAAGGAGTTGCAGAAAATAATTTATGCAACCGACCCCTGGACCCCTAATTTATTAAGTAAGGCCTTTTTTTTTTTTTTTTTTAATTATCTTTTGATAAAACGTTTAGATTCAGTTTAATTTAGCCTCGCCACCCTTTTTATCTTGAAACTCCTCTTATCAGAGGAAGTAAGAAAAAGTGGAGAGTACTAAATTGTAGGGACTCTATCTGCGTTTCTTCATGACTGGTCCCAATTCTTGTTTGTCATCGATGTCCTTGATAACATGTTGCAGTTCTTAACTGAACTTTGACTTTTGATGACTAACTTGGTTCCATAACAAATCATTTCAGGCTCGTATCCATGATGAGAGCTTGAGATTTGTTTTATCTGAGCGTGCCATCATTGCACTTGCAGCTAAAAGACCAACAACTGAATTGGATATATGTAGCACTATATCCGAAGCTGATCCAGATGTTGAATTGATGACTCTCTTTCCTCTCCAATCTCCGTCCTCTGTTGTTAGTTGTCATCTCGAAGACCTTCATTACCTTTTCCAAGCTGAAATAGGTGCAGTTGATGATGTGTTACAAATGTTTATCCAGCAGCACCTAGGTCCAGATGGTAGCTGTCCTCTTTCTGCATATAATTATGCTTTGTTGACCCAAACTGGCCTGAAACAAACTATAAGAGCCACCTCCAATCAAAACGGATTTAAAGCTGCAAAACAGTTGGCGAAGAAGGCTTCTAGAGAACTCTTCGTTCAAAAATTTTCCTGCAAATCTCCGGTCTATCACAACTTCAAAATCTATGCAAATGATGGACGTTTATTGTGTCACTGTGATCGCAAAAAACTTGAATGGTCAGATGACTTCTTTTTCTTCTTTCTTTCTTGTTCTTCGCAATATACTTGATTTTTACATTATGCAAGTGGATTTATATGAGCGCTTTGCTACAGGTATCTCAATCGGAATCTGGCAAAACTTGTTGAAGATGATCCTCCTGCTATCATGCTCTGCTTCGAACCCAAAGGTCGTCCAGAAGATGAGGACAATGACTTTTACATTCAAAGTAAGAAAAATATATGTGTGAGCTGTGGTGAAGGGAATCACTACTTGCGGTACAGGATTATACCCTCATGCTACAGAATGCATTTTCCTGAGCACTTAAAAAGCCATCGTTCCCATGATATTGTCCTCCTTTGCGTTGACTGTCACGAAATTGCTCATGCTGCTGCTGAAAAGTATAAGAAGCAAATAGCTGCTGAATTTGACATACCACTTTTTATTCGTAAAGTAGTTGACTTGAATCAGGTGCACAATGCTTCAGCCTCTACGCCGACGATTATTTCTGAGGAGGCAGGTGTATCTCCTTTACAGTTGCGTACAGCGGCTATGGCTCTGCTACGCCATGGAACAAGAATGCCATGCAAACGCCGTGAAGAATTGATGCAGGTTGTGATGGATAAATTTTCTATTATTTTAAAATATTTTAATTCTGGATATCTTATCTGTATAATTAGTCATGTTACCACTTTTAATGAATAGGTAGATATAAGGTTTGGAGCATGATTCTGAACCAATTACCAAGTATATGGGCTGTAATACATCATCTTTCAAGAGAAAAAAGGTCTTCTATTATCACCATTACAATCATCATCTTTATTATATTATTTTGAATGACTCCATCATTAATTATTGTTAACATCATATTTTTCTCAATATCTTGTTTTATATTAATAGCTGATCCGTGCATTTGCCTGCTGTAAATGTGATATTGTTTGGCAAAGAATGTAATTATGATGTTTGATTTTCATCTTGATGATGAAGTGGGCTCAATAGAGGCAGAAGGTGTGCAGCATGTAGAATACCTCCAATTGGTGATTGGCTGGTTGGGACGATGGTTCACTAAATCGTTGTTTTTTATCTTGAAAACCATTACAATGTTTGTCATGTATAAAGCAGGGAACCTTTATAAACATTTCAAAAATCTCGTATCCGCTTCTCACATACTATTTCCTTCAAAGTCTGTGCCATAATAATGTTCTCTTCATATTGAAGTACGCATTATATTCAGCAATTTTTTGAATCCGTGGCTGCTTTTGTTTGTGTAGGTTGTCATGAAGTACTATGGAGGGAGAGAAATATCAGATGAAGATCTTGAAAGAGCACTGCTAGTTGGAATGAGTCCACACGAGAGAAGAAAATTTGAGAAAAAGAGAGGTTTGGCATTTAAAAATTCTTTAAAATCTATGAATCTGAATGGCGAGAGAGAAAATAATATATGTGGCAAAGCTACTACCTCCATTCAGAATGACTTGAATGGTACGGCTGCTGGTCATTTATACGTCAATGCAGGAGAGACGGATCAGAAAGAGGGTTATCTTGACATTTTGATGGGAGATGATACGGGTGTAAACACACGGCCTTTGTTTTCTAATGGTAGAGTCAATAGTGCAGTATCTGCTGATGAGGGAAATGATATTGCAGATATAAAGGAATTCCCAGATATCAAAACCAGTTCTACTTCTAATCATGATGATATTTGTGAAAGTGAATCCCCATCAAATGAGACTACTAATCCCCTTGATGATAGAGACATTTCGTTAAACCGTGAATCAAAATTGTCATTATTGGGACATGGACCTCACGGGAAACAGGTAGTCGAGCATCTGCTCAAAGAGTATGGAGAAGAAGGAATTTGTCAATTTTGCCAGAGATGGAGACAAGTTTTTGTTGAAGCCCTTCATCCTCGTTTCTTACCTGGTGGCTGGGATGTAAATCACAGGTACACGTGCCTTTTCTATAATTTTTTTTTTTTCATCTGTACATGTATGCATTAATTGCAAATATATTGTCATTCCTTTTATAACTACTTCTGTTGATTGATGTTCTGGTCTCATCTCTTTATATTTTTAGGTCCGAAGCATCTCTAATAGGTTCTTTAAAGGGTAATTAGCACAAAAGGTCCATACCTTTCAAGGTTATTGTGTTAAATGTCCCTACCTTTCATTTTTTTTTTGTATTTTCGCCGTTATTTCAACATTTCATTTCAGAAAACGTCATTTTCATCATTTTTGATGTAAAATGACTAAAATACCCTCAAATTTAAATAAAACAAAAATAAAAAATAAATAAAGAATAAATTACAATCTTACTCTTAAATGTTTTAGAAAGTGCAAGTGAGTCCAAATAATTATTAAAAGGCTTTATAGTACAAAACGTCCATACGTTTCAAATTGGTGAAAATGACTTTTTTCGCAATGAAAGTGAAACGTGAAAATAGGAATGAAAACGCAAAAAAATTGAAACGTAGGGACGTTTTCTGCAAGAAGTGTTAAACGTAGGGACGTTTTGTGCTACTAGGCCTTATTAAAATATTAAAAATAACAAAAAAAAACTCTCTATTCTCTTCTCCAAATGAGACTGCCACGTTAGAGGTGAAAAAACTCCGACCAACCATCGCTCAAACCGCTAAACCTCCGTATTGTCGAACCATCCATTGATATTTTAAGACCACAAAGAGAGGCGCCCTAGTGAGTATAGTCAATTGGTATGTTAGAAATGACATGGGTCTCTCGAGAATAGGTGATGCCGTCAGCATTTGCTTTGGCGAGTTGGGTATTTTAGCTTGCAATTTCGAGCAAATCTATTGGCATGAAGGTTTCAAAGTTGGATGTTGGGTGGTATGTGTAGAGGGAAGTGAGAGCTTTTCGGTGGTATGGTGGTCTAGTAGTTTGGGTGGTGGTTTGCTGGAGTTTTTTGGCGTCTATGGTAGCTAACCGATTTGGAGAAGAAGAGAAGAGAGAGAGCTTTTTTTTTTTTTTTGATTTTTTTAATATTTTAATAAGGTTTAATAGCAAAAAAATTCACGTTTGACACTTCTTGCGGAAAACGTCTCTACGTTTCAATTTGTTTGCATTTTCAACCCTATTTTCACGTTTAATTACAAAAAACGTCATTTTTACCAATTTGAAATGTAGGGGCGTTTTGCACACTATAGGTCAAGCATAGGGACGTTTTGTTTTATTAGGCCTTTTAATAATTATTTGGATTCACTTACACTTTTTAAAACATTTAGGAGTAATATTGTAATTTATTCTTTATTTTTCTTGATTTTTTGTTTTATTTAAATGGGAGGGTATTTTGGTCATTTTACATTAAAAAATGGTGAATTTGACGTTTTCTACAATGAAATGTGAAATAAGAGAAAATGTCAAAAAATGAAAAGTAGGGACGTTTTACACAATAAAATTGAAAGATAGGGACATTTTGTGCTAATCACCCGTTCTTTAAACATAAGATGCTTTCCATTTTAAAGAGTCAACCTTTTAAATTATACTCCAAGATATTTTTTAAATTAACATTTTATAATAAAGAGAGGTTGGCTAACCAAACCCACTCTTTATGATTAAATACATTCAAAGTATTTCAATTTCAATGTAGAAAAATAATATAATAATTTGGAGGGCAGCTAGTGAAAATAGAAGATAGGAAAAACAATAAATATTTTTTTGAGAGTAATAAAATTAAGTGTTAAATATTAAGAGTATGTTGGAGTACTTAAAAATTTTTACTCTCTAAATTTATGGGTGCTCTCTAAATTGCAAAATACCCTTTTTTAAAATAGAGTCTCTTGTAGATTTTCTAAGGTAGGTAAAAGTCACTTGTAAACGATATTTTGCTCTCTTTATTAGTGCAACACTAGGATTTATGGTGCTTATGATTCCCATATCTTTCACCCATGATTGTACTGCGGGAATTGAACTGAATATTTTTAGGGTATGGAGGTTTATTTCTTGCGTCTCATAACCCCTGGCCCCTTTAGTTTTCTGTGTTTTTTTCCCTTGTTTATGGCTAATTTTTGAAAACCAGTCACATTCTTATTGTGTCCCTTTTTGGTGGGATTATAATTAGATTTTGATAAAAATTGGTCAAAATGTATGGTTAGAAAGTTGTAGGTTCCATGAAATATATGGGTAAAATTAATTGTTGACTTTGGCTTAATCATACCAAACAGGGGTTAAGTAGAAGGATGTTAGGCAATTGGTAAATAGTTCCCAAACGAATTATTTCAGATGAAGAAGCTTCTTTGGAAGTTTTAATGAGGGCAGCATGGAAAACTAAGGGCCTGTTTGGCATGTTTTTGAAAAGCCAAAAGTTGCTTTTTGATCTCCTTGGATAATTTCTAAAAGTTCTTTGTTTGATTAGATTTAGAGAAAGTTAGCTCAAGATGATTTTCTTTAGGAGCTCTCAAACAGGCCCTAAAGATGATAATCGGGGGGCTGGGGGTATCTTTAGGAAAAATCGACATTGTGTGTGAACTTCTGAATAATTGTAGACCAAATGATGATGCAATATGATTTCTATGGTTGAATCTCAAACTGCATTAAGGTCAAGAAGCTATGCTATTTTAGTTTCTATTATTCATAATAATCCAAGATAGGCAAGTTTTTAAAAGAAATTGTCAAGTACGTGTTTGGTAACGGATTCATTGTTCCTTTACGCAAAGGTCCTGATGTTAGACATTTTTTTTGCCAGTGGCAAACGAGATTTTGGGGAATTCAGCGTGTACAAGCCTGGAAAGAACATTCGTGCCATCGCCATTTGATGTTGGACGCTATTTTGCTTGTGATAAACGAGATTTTGAGAAATTCAGCTCCTAGAAATCTGTGTCCTGTCAAGGATTAGAGAACACAATGACAGTACTGCAAAGTGAGATGAATGCACTTTAGCCGCTTTATTTCGTTTTTCATTTTATTCTCCATTCGTTGACTGCGGCTTTTTTTTTTTTTTTTTGTTAGTTTCGGGAAGCAGTTGATGCTGAAGAGATTAGTTTGTTGTATGTACCATATGCGTATTCATTCATTAGTTCTATTGAGGAAGATATTTTCATTGCTTAAGGGAGATTTAATGACATGCTTTTAGAAAAGAATTTGAGCCGAAATTGAGCAATATATGTACAGGGTTATGAGCTGTCCCAAACATGCACGTAATTGCAGTCAATCTTTTTCCTGAATTGGGGAAAAAAAGATTTTATTACCTCATCATATATGATGAGTGGACTGTCTAAAGAAATTGAAGTTTAAAGATGAAAATTGTGGGCCGATGATAGGACTCTTTTTTATGTCTATTCTCTAGTGCAAGCTATTGAACTTTGCCTGGTCATTGTAAAATTGAAGATTCTGAATTTTGTGGAGTCTTATATTTCATCTTAAAATTTCAGATTCTGCAATGTGAAAAAATCACGCGCTCCTGTAAATCTGGGACTTTAAGGAAGCAGTGAGAAAGTCAGTTACCTGCACAGTTTGATAGGAAAGCAGGATCTGGATTGGGACCAACTAAAAATTTGACGACTCACTGTTGTTTATAGAGACCTACATTGCTTTTGTCCGCTCCCAATTAATAGTTTTTATACGCTGCACCTCAACTGATTGGCGTTGATTAATGGCCTTTATCTGTTATACTTACCGAGCTGCTGATCCTTTAGTCAGAAACTTCTACGGGGAAACTCATGGTGTTCATGAAGAAGTTCAACCTATTAGTTTAGATGTTGGATGCCTATCTAAAAGTTTAAACATTAATAATGTTGTTTTACTATTGGTATATTGATATGAAAACTAGGATTGGTTTTGCTGTCATGATGAAAAATATATTCTTGAGACACTTTCTGCTAACTGCATTGTGTTCAATTTTGCAGTTCCTGATTTTCGAGGAGACCACAGCTGTGTTGAGAAAGTTGCAAAATCTAGGTTAGATGCTTTTGCTCACAACATTGAAACTGTTGAGGAGCTTCATGTCGAAGATTCCTGAGAAGAAAATTAAGGAGATCGATAGGGTGGTTTCACACACTACGTAGTTAGTGGTTTTTGTTTTGTTTTTTTGTTTTTTTTTTTTTTTTTGTTTTTTTTGTTTTTTTGGGAAAATGGATTGGATTTTTACATAATTTGGAATTTTGGATCTGGATTTTGTGCGAATATTGTTACATTTTAGAGTTCAATTAATAATGATTATTGGAATTATTTGATATAGATATTTTCTATTATGTTTTGTGGTCGATATTGAAAAAATCATCAAGGAGTGTATCACAAGGCCTAGAAACAGGATGTTAGGAGTAACAACTATGAGCCAGTTTTGGGAGCGACATTTAAATGTATTTTCTTTTAAGTAATATGTTCATGTGTGTTTTCTTTCAGCTATTAATGCTTCCTGATCTTAGTAAACATCCATAAAATATGGACATGTCTTTTATAAATTTTTTTAATGAAAAGTTGGAAAGTCCAATTAATAAATGAAGGAAGAAATGAAGCCTGTAAAATCTGATTATCATCATCATGGAGTTTTCATGTGTGGGATCAAAGTAAGGGAGGGGTAATTCGTAACCATATGCTAGAGTAAGTGGATTTGATTTCTTGATGGAGGCACAGGCATCACAAGTTGATTGCCATTTTCCATGCTTTTTTGCCTGCAACATCAGGGAAATTGATTATAGTAATGCTGTTCTCATACTAATTTTGTTTCACAATCTAAATGTCAGCGAGAAGACTGGAGACAACGTCCATTGCCTGAAGAAATGGTAAAATATGCGAGATCTGATGCACACTATTTGTTGTACATTGCATATTGTCTTTCTATGGAGCTCAAACAGCATAAAAATGGTATGCCATAAATTCATCCTATTTGAAAACTATTTAATTATTTTTTGTGGATGTGTCCAATTGTTGTCCTGTACTTGTATAGAATGGGTTTAGAGTCATTATTGAAAATTATTTCCAAGATTGAGCAACCTTGCTGCTGGAATATTTTGTAGAAGATTTGATTATCAAAGTCGTGGTAATCTATTTCTTATTCTTTTTTCTTTCTAATGACAAATACCAGTATGAAGAGTATAGAAGCTTCTATTTCTGTGTAGAAGTTTAAAGCAGAGACCAAATTTTTGTTCTAGTTACTAGAACAGGCAAAACCTTATTTCCAATCAACCTCGAGCTCACTATATATTACATCTTTTTTCGCTATTTTCTTGGATTTACAGTTACCTCTTTCTGAAGTCCAAGTAAAATATCTTACAACTTTATCAGACCATAAAGTTTGGCATTTTCCCTTTTAACATATTCCACTGGACTTGTGTCCCTGTTTTGAAGAAAAGATTCTTTAGGTCTACACAGAACATGGCTCAATCACAGAACATAGTTCAATGATATATTATTCTATTCCTTAATTCATCCTCACTTGGTGCCATTTCGATCTATCCGGATTTGTTAAAGTGTTATTGAGATATAGTGTAAAAGTCTTATTAACTATTAAATCATATGTGCACTTTTCTACCTAGTTGAACATGTTAGAAAGGATAGGCAGATTAAAATTATCATGGGTTGGTTTGGTTGCCAAGAATCTGATTGAATTGGATCTTCCATTAGATGTGTCCATAGACCGAAGAGAGTGGTGGGCAATTATTAGGAATAGAGTTTGGTGTTGTGATGAACAAGATAAAATCCTGCATAGACTTGAAAATTTATCTGGTGCCATCACCAGAATTGGCCATTGACAATTACCTATTATGTGGAAAAAGGAAGGCATTAATATTCATGTTATTCCCTCTCCTGACTATAGATTATGTGGGAAAATAAAGGTGTCAATATTCAATGTTGATCTTACATGCCTTAACTAATTACAGGATGAGGCTTGAATATATTGGGGTAAGGATTAACAGTCCTCGTTCATTTCAAAATTGAAGAAGCAAATAAGTTCTCTCAATGTTGTTTGATAGTCGTATATTGCTGAGAACCTTCTCATTAGCTGTCATCCTTACCCATAAAGCATAGAGGACTTGTAAGAGAAATGACTAATTTTTTATATGCTTATGAATAAGAAAGGGAAAAATATTCTTGAATCATAATTGCAGAACAATCGGATGACAAAGATATCACTGTAAGACCTCACCCTTATAATTTTTAAAATTTATGAAATTGAAATGACCGTTAAAAGTAAAAATGGTGAAATATATGAAAGATATTTTATACCCAAGTTAATGAAGGACTGCTAAGATACGAGGAAGAAAAATTCAAATTGATTGTTTTTTTAAGTGCTAATGAGTTTTAAAAATGAAATGTATAAATATCTTATAATTAAGTTAAGGTGTCATTTTCTCTAAAAATTTACATTTTTTAATTCCAGATCCACCAAATGGCTACAGCCACTGCATTACTTTGCAAACTGATGCTTCAATTATTTATTGTGATATGAGATGGCATTTGTCAAAATATACACCTGTAAGTCTTAGCAAATAATTGTGCACTGGCATACTAGTTATCTACCATCATTTCAGAGTGCTGAAACTGTTTATAATAAAGGTGATGAGAGAAAATCCAGGGAAAGTGAGGAAGAAGACTAAAAAACTTATATACTACAAAGTCCCCTTGCAAGTTTAATTTTGTCATCTTATGCACATATCCAGCCCAATTTTTAACATTTTAGTTTTTATTTTGGACTCATCATTCAGTTAACATCCTATAGGAATTAGCGGATCAGAAAATTTGTCTCCTTGTGACAAATTCCATTTTCTATTCGAGGCTAGTCGACGTTCCAATGCAACTTGTTTGCAACTTTTCCAAAAAGATATTGAAGCTTATCTCGGTGAATCTACTGCTTTGTCAATAATTTCTCGTTGCTTGAATGATCAAGGGGGTATTCCATCCAGTTTGTGTGATTTGAAGGTTTGATACTTTCTATTAGATTTTTTTTGATTGATATTGTTTGTAGACATGGATAATGATGATGCCTTTTCATGTTCAGTTTCAGGAACTTGTGAGACGATTCTGCGCATGGAGGGATATAATGGTGAGTGGAAACATATCAATATACTCGTTGTATTCTGACTGAACTCATCCCTGCTTTATGTATTATTTGTGGAATTGTTGAATTTCACTTCTTGTTGGGGATGCTATCAACACATAGAAATTTAGTATTCGTTCCAGGAAATGCCCTCAAGGACACTATCCCTGGATGAGAAGTAAAGAGATTCTTCCGATATTGCTGCATTGAGATTTCGTAGAGGATAGCGATATATCTTATGGCTTGGTCCCAATACCTGTTGTTAACTTCAGTTGAGGGGTAGGGATGAACATTCATATCATTACTACTGCTCATGTCGCCTAGTTACAGGTTGAGCTTTATAATAATCATCTAGAGCACTTGTTGCTGTTGGGCTCTAGAGGCCTCCATTTAGATGCCTTATGTATTGGACTATTAATCTTTATTATTGAGAATAAGTTACAGCCATACAATTGCAACCATCAGAATTCCTATCGCTGGGTTGAACGGATGGCATCTGCAAAGATGTGATGCATTAGCTTCAATTCTCAAATTCTGTTGATAGTCTTGATATTTGGGTTTGGCATATGTTCAAGGAAGGGTGAGGGGAATTGAGAAGGGATGGATTGAAGTACTTCCTCTAGTAGGAAACAGATGTTATTTACTCTTATGTTGTTTGGAACTAGTAATGGGGGGGTGTGGAAATAGGGTGAGATAATTGGATGAAAGAGTATAAAACGATTTTTTTTTTTTATTAATAACATGTCATATGTAATTGGATTCTATACATACAGCCATTGATCATAAGGAGTTGCAGAAAATAATTTATGCAACCGACCCCTGGACCCCTAATTTATTAAGTAAGGCCTTTTTTTTTTTTTTTTTTAATTATCTTTTGATAAAACGTTTAGATTCAGTTTAATTTAGCCTCGCCACCCTTTTTATCTTGAAACTCCTCTTATCAGAGGAAGTAAGAAAAAGTGGAGAGTACTAAATTGTAGGGACTCTATCTGCGTTTCTTCATGACTGGTCCCAATTCTTGTTTGTCATCGATGTCCTTGATAACATGTTGCAGTTCTTAACTGAACTTTGACTTTTGATGACTAACTTGGTTCCATAACAAATCATTTCAGGCTCGTATCCATGATGAGAGCTTGAGATTTGTTTTATCTGAGCGTGCCATCATTGCACTTGCAGCTAAAAGACCAACAACTGAATTGGATATATGTAGCACTATATCCGAAGCTGATCCAGATGTTGAATTGATGACTCTCTTTCCTCTCCAATCTCCGTCCTCTGTTGTTAGTTGTCATCTCGAAGACCTTCATTACCTTTTCCAAGCTGAAATAGGTGCAGTTGATGATGTGTTACAAATGTTTATCCAGCAGCACCTAGGTCCAGATGGTAGCTGTCCTCTTTCTGCATATAATTATGCTTTGTTGACCCAAACTGGCCTGAAACAAACTATAAGAGCCACCTCCAATCAAAACGGATTTAAAGCTGCAAAACAGTTGGCGAAGAAGGCTTCTAGAGAACTCTTCGTTCAAAAATTTTCCTGCAAATCTCCGGTCTATCACAACTTCAAAATCTATGCAAATGATGGACGTTTATTGTGTCACTGTGATCGCAAAAAACTTGAATGGTCAGATGACTTCTTTTTCTTCTTTCTTTCTTGTTCTTCTAATTTATGCAACCGACCCCTTGACCCCTAAATTTTTTAATAAAGCCTTTTTTTTTTTTTTTTTTTAATTATCTTTTGATAAAACGTTTAGATTCAGTTTAATTTAGCCTCGCCACCCTTTTTATCTTGAAACTCCTCTTATCAGAGGAAGTAAGAAAAAGTGGAGAGTACTAAATTGTAGGGACTCTATCTGCGTTTCTTCATGACTGGTCCCAATTCTTGTTTGTCATCGATGTCCTTGATAACATGTTGCAGTTCTTAACTGAACTTTGACTTTTGATGACTAACTTGGTTCCATAACAAATCATTTCAGGCTCGTATCCATGATGAGAGCTTGAGATTTGTTTTATCTGAGCGTGCCATCATTGCACTTGCAGCTAAAAGACCAACAACTGAATTGGATATATGTAGCACTATATCCGAAGCTGATCCAGATGTTGAATTGATGACTCTCTTTCCTCTCCAATCTCCGTCCTCTGTTGTTAGTTGTCATCTCGAAGACCTTCATTACCTTTTCCAAGCTGAAATAGGTGCAGTTGA